AGGGCAAAGGAAGATTCTACCTTTGCTACATAAGAGAGCCTCAACAATAGTCTCTCCCATTACATCATTGCTTTCCTCATATAAAGTTATTTACCGAGAAGTGAATACTCTCTTCTCATTAAAAAACGTTTCCGCAATGGCAAAAATGTTGAAATATGATGCAAATTCTAGAAAGATATAAAAAATAAAATTCTAGATGCTACTAGAATTAGGAACTTCATATGAGTAATATCTAGAATCTTTAGATGATTCTAGAAATGTTTAAAAGTAGAAGATAAATAATTCTAGAGTTAAGAAAATCTAGAATTATCTAGAACATTTAGGAGGTGGTGGATCAAGCCTATAAATAGGCAATGCCACTTATGTAATAGTGTGTGAAAAACTAATACAAACTCCTACATATCTTGTAACACTTCCAAGATCAATTACTATCTTCTCTCATACAAATCTTCTCCTATTTGTCCACCTCTTTCTAAAAACTATTTTCTACACAAATCTCACTACTAAATATCAAATCATCTTTCTTATCCTTCATAAAATACAAACAAGTGGTACCGAGCTACGTTCGATCATATATTGGGCGTAGATACAATCTAACCACCTTCGAAAAGTCCTACTATATTTCATACCAATTCCAACCAATGGCTAATGTCAATTCTTTTTCATCTATTCCTCTACCTATCTTCATGGGGAGAAAATTATAACTTTTGGAGCATTAAAATGAAGACATTTTTTTGCTTTCAAGATCTGTGGGAGATTGTTGAAGATGACTTCATTACTACTACAGACGTTTCTACATTAACAACAACTTAGAAGAAAGAGTTGAAAGAGAACAAGCAAAAATATTCAATGACATTATACTTTCTACAACAAGTTGTGGTTGATGCAATTTTTTCAAGAATAATGGATGTCATAAGTGTCAAAGAAGCGTGGACCACACTACAGGAAGAGTTTCAAGGAAGTGTAAAGGTACACACCATTAAACTTCAAACTCTAAGACGTGAGTTTGAATTATTGAGTATGAAGGAGTCTAAGACCATTAAAGACTATTATACTAAAATTAAAGAGATAATTAGTCAAATGAGAGCATGTGGGGAAAATATTATGGACAAGAAAATTATTGAAAATTTTTTAATTTCTATTCCCCACAAATATGATGCAATTGTGATAACAATTGAACAAATCAAGGATCTGTCTACCTTATCGGTGATAGAACTAATAGGTTCTCTTGAAGCATATGAGCAAAGATTGAAAAGGTATAATGAAGATTCTATTGACAATGTCTTTCAATCAAAGCTCAAATTACAGTATCAGAATAAAGAATGGAGGAAAAAAATTGAAGAAATTTCTAGAAATAAAGAAAACTCTAGAAATTTCTCTAAGTCTAGTCAAGATAAATTTCATCCTATGGCATCTGCAAAAAGTCAAGTCACTTGGAGAAAGGTTGTTGGCACCGTCGAAAATCTCAATGCCAATATTCCAAGAAGTTTGGACATGTGGAGAAAAATTGTCAGATAAAAAACAAGCATCAAGCAAATTTTGCTGAAGAACATGACCTTCAAAAACATCTTTTCTATGCTACCCGAGACACCAATGATGAAGCAAGCGAAAATTGGTATTTGGATAGCGGATGCAGTAATCACATGGCCAAAGACGAAAACATCTTCAAGGACATTGACGACTCTGTCAAAGTGAAAGTACGATTGGGAAATGGCACACTAGTAGAATCAAAAGGAAGAGATACCATTGCAGTGGAAACTAAGAAAGGTATGAGACTTATTAAATATGTCTTACTCATTCCCAATCTTAAAGAAAATCTCTTGAGCATTGGACAAATGATGGAGAAAGGTTATCCTCTTCACTTCAAAGGAGATACATGAAAAATCTATGACAATAAAAGACGAGAGATAGGAGAAGTAAAAATGGAGAAAAGAAATAGAATCTTTCTTATAAGCTTCAAATATATTACTGATATTGCCATAAAAGTTCAAGTTGATGATTCATGGCTTTGGCATAGAAGGTTTGGACACTTCAACACTTAGGCTTTGAAGCTACTACATCAGAAGAATATCATGAGAGGTCTCTCATACCTGAAAGAGAATAATGAAGATTGTGAAGGATGTCTCCTCGGGAAGCAACATAGAATACCATTTTCAACCGACAAAGCATGGAGAGCAAAAGGTTTGCTAGAATTAATCCATACAGACATCTGTGGACCGATGAGGACACTGTCACTAAACAATAATAGGTACTTTATCCTTTTCATCGATGACTTTTCTAGAATGACCTGAGTTTACTTCATCAAAGAATAATCAAAAGTCCTATTCAAGAAGTTTAAAGCTCTCGTCGAGAAACAAAGTAGAAGACACATAAAGGTTATTAGAAGTGATCGAGGTAAAGAATATAACTCACATGAGTTTGATAAGTTCTGTGAAGATAAAAGAATAGAAAGACAACTTACAATATACACCATAAAAAAATGGTGTATAAAAAAGAAAGAATCATACAATGATGGAGATGGCAAGATCAATGTTGAAGGAGAAAGGCTTGCCAAATACGTTTTGGGCAGAAGTAGTCTACACTGTCGTGTATATACTCAATAGATGCCCAACTAAGACAGTCCAAGACAAGACTCCAATTGAAGCTTGGAGTAGGTAAAAACCATCAGCTAAACACTTAAGAGTTTTTGGATTTATCTACTACATACATGTGCCAGATCAGAAAAGGCACAAATTAGAAGACAAGACTATACGATGAATCTTCTTGGGATATAACATACAAACAAAAGGCTATAGAGTTTATAACTTGCAGACAAAGAAACTCACCATCAGTTGAGATGTTGAGGTTGATGAAAATGCTTCTTGGAATTGGGAAGAAGGAAGAATCATGAGAAACAACATCTTCCTTCCAGTACAACAATCCCAAGAAGAAATTCAAGAAGTGGCAGAAGATCCAGGTACGCTTCCTTTATCTACACAACAAGAATTTTCACCAGAATCTACTCCTAGGAGAGTAAGATCCTTGGTGGATATATATAAAACATGAAATATGACAATGCTTGAGCCTGAATGCTATGAAGAGGCTACAAGGCAAGAAGTCTGGATCAAGACAATGGAGGAAGAAATTAAAATGATAAAAAAGAATAATACTTGGGAACTAGTAGATTGCTTGCATGGAAAGGACATAATTGGAGTAAGATGGATTTATAAAACAAAACTCAATCTTGATGGTACCATACAAAAGCACAAGGCTAGGATGGTAGCAAAGGGTTATTCACTAACAACCTAGAATCGACTATAATGAGACATTTTCCCTAGTTGCTCGTCTAGATACAATTATAGCTTTAATAGCTCTTGCAGCACAAAAAGGATGAAGCATTCACCAATTGGATGTTAAATAAGCCTTTCTAAATGGTTTACTAGAAGAAGAGATATACGTGGAGCAACCACAAGGCTTTATAAGTAAAGGAAATGAAGCCAACGTGTTAAGGTTAAGAAAAGCACTATATGGCTTGAAACAAGTTTCTCGAGCATGGTCCTGACAAAATTGATCAGTACTTCATTAATTAAGAGATTTAGGAGGAATAGTGAGCCTAAACTGTATATCAAGACTCAAGGTTAGTATGATATCCTCATTGTTTCTCTATATGTAAATGATCTTATCTACGAGGAAACAATAAAGAGATGATAAGGGAATTCAAAGAAGACATGATGAAAACATTTGAAATGAGTGACCTTGGCTTGATGAATTATTTTCTCGGCATAGAGGTAGACATACAAAAGGAAGGTATATTTATCTCTCAAAAGAAATACATCGAGGCTTTATTAAAGAAATTCAAGATGCATGGTTGCAAATATGCATGGCTTACTCCACTCGTGACAAATGAGAAGTACAAATAGATGATGGAGTACCAGGAAGTTGATGCATCACACTATATAAGTTTGATTGGAAGCTTACTATATCTTATAGCTACGACGACCCGATGTAACTATGTGATAGCCTTCTATCAAGATTCATGCAAAGACCAAGTCAAATTCACTTTGGAGCAACAAAAGGATTTTAAGATATCTACAAGGCACAAAGGACTTTGGTATATGGTACAAAACTATAAACGACTCAAAGTTGATTGGCTACACTTATAGTGATTGGGCGGGATCTATAGATGACATGAAGAGTACATCGAGGCTATCATTCTCACTTGGATCGGGATTTCTCTCTTGAGCATCTAAGAAGCAAGCAACATTAACACGATCAACAACAAAGGTAGAGTACATGGCATCTAATTCGAAAGCCTACAAGTCAAGTTATATGGCTCGAGAAATACTTGAAGAGATGAAAACAACAACATGGATATCTGCAATTTACTATAATAACAAATCAGCGATAGCAATGACAAAGAATTGAGTCCATCATCAAAAGAACAAAACATATAGCTATCAAATATCATTTCATCGGAAGGATGAAACAACTAAACAAATTCAAGTTGAATATTATTGCTGGATCAAATTGCGAGACATATTTTACAAGACACTACCCAAGAGCCAAGTTTGAACAATTACATTTCATGCTTGGAGTTACAAAAATTTGCATCAAGGAGGAGTGTTGAAAGATGATACAAATTCTAGAAAGATATAGAAAATAAAATCCTAGATGTTACTAGAATTAGGAACTTCAAAATGAGTAATATCTAGAATCTCTTAGAAGATTCTAGAAATATTTAAAAGTAGAAAATAAATAATTATAAAATTAAGAAAATCTAAAATTATATAAAACATTTAGGAGGTGGTAGATCAGAAGTTTATAAATAGACAATACTACTTATGTAATAAAATGTGAAAAACTAATACAAACTCCTACATATCTTGTAACACTTCACAAATTAATTACTATATTCTGCATATCAAACATTTTCCTATTTATCTACCTCTTTTTTAAAAATTATTTTATACATAAATCTATGGTAAGTATCTTTCTATTCTTCTAACAATATAAACAAAAACCTTCTGATTTCCAATGGTAAAAGCTTCCGATCCATTACATTGAGATAAGTAGGGTTGGTAATGGAGTGGAACAAGACTGATATAGAGTGTAATATATATATATATATATATATATATATATATATATATATATATATATATATATATATATATATATACTACAACAAAAACATCAAATAAGTAACCGAATTTTCAGTCACTAAATTATCAAAATCTAGTCACTAACAAAAACATTAAAAAATTTTATAACTCTCTAATCTCTCTTTTATAATATATTTTTATTATTTATTATATTTTTTAGAAATTTGAATTATTATTAGATTGAAAGAATTGTTACTTGCAGGATTCGAACCCAATACCTGTAGAGTTAGAGACCGATACTCCAACCACTTAACTACTAGGAATTTTTTATAATAGTTTATAAATAAATTATATTTATATACAAATAAAAATATATATCCGTATAAATATATAAATATAAAATATATAAATACATACATATATATATATATATATATATGTTGGATGTGAGGCATGCTCGAGGTTGAAAGTGTGTCGAGTAGATTTTTAAAATTTGATGTCAAATTTGTGAGCTGTCTCTTTATATGAGTTTATAATTTAATGACACAATATAATCTTTATAATTTATTTATATAATGATATAAAATAATTTTTTTCTTTATTTATTTTTATTTTAATTTATTCTTCTTATATTTTTTTCTTCTATTATTTAATTAAAATTCTTATATTAAAATAATTTTTTCAATATTAAAAATAATTAAATATTTATTTTTAAAATTATTTAATTTAACAAATTATTATAAATTAATCTAATTATGATTATTAATAGAACAATTTTTTCCTAAGATATATATTATAAATTAATCAAAATCATCTTTTAATAATTATTTTTTCCAGACATAGATTAATTCATAATAATTTGTTAAATTAAATAATTTTAAAAAATAATTTTAAAAATAAATATTTCATTATTTTTAATAATGAAAAATTATTTTAATATAAGAATTTTAATTAAATAATAGAAGAAAAAAAAGATAAAAAGAATAAATTAAAATAAAATAAAAATAAATAAAGAAAACAATTATTTTATATCATTATATAAATAAATTATAAAGATTATATTCTATCATTAAATTACAAATCCATATAAAGAGACTCGCTCACAAATTTGACATCAAATTTTGAAAACTCACTCGACACACACTTTCACCCTCTAATGTGATCCTCACATCGAACATATAAATATATAAATATATCAAAATATATAAATATATTTGTATTTATATATTTTATATTTATATATTTACACGGATATATATTTATTTGTATATAAATATAATTTATTTGTAAATTTTTATTAAAAAAATTCTAACAGTTTAGTGGTTGGAGTATTAATATTTAACTCTAAGGTACTAGTTTTGAATCCTATTAGTAATAATTTTCTTAATCTGATTAAAAAAATTTGTTAATAAGAGAAATTATATATTTTTGTGGAAATTAGAGCAATTAAATTGTTCTTATGGACTAAAATTCAAAAAGTAAAAAATAAAAAATATAATTAAATAAAAGAAAAACTATATACTTTTGCATTTTTATTTTCAAATATTAGTTTTTTTATGAAATTTTTTTAATTAAAATAATTAAAGTGTATATATATATATATATATATATATAATTTTTTTATTTTTTTTATTTTAATTTATTAATATTATCAAATTTTAGCTTCATGATTAAAAAAATACCAATAATTTAAATTTTATTAATTCTATAATTTTATATAATTATTATTATAAATTTAATTCTCCAATAACTAATAATATTAACACATTTATTAAATTAAAATTCTTTATTTTAATTAATTATTTTGATTTTTTTAACAAATTTTTAAAAATAAAAACGATAAAACTTAAAATTAATTTCTAACTAAATCTTCGTATATTTATGATTAATAGTATATTATATTATTATGTTTAATTAAATTTTAAAATAAGTTCACTTAATCTTTACACTTTTATAAAAATACTAATATAAACTTAAAATATTTATCCAATTACTAAATTATTTAAAATATTAATATAAATTTGAAATATCAATTTAATAATTAAAATAATTTTAATTTTTTTATAAATATATTGAAATACATTTTTATTAACATAAAAGTAATATATATATATATATATATATATATATATATATATATATATATATCAAAAAGATACTAAACTAATAATTAATTTAATCATTGATTATATATATAAAAGAGATTAAATTAATAATTATTTTAATGATTGAATCAGTAACTAATTTAATGATTAATTTTAATTTTTTTATTTATATACTTGTATTACTAAATTATTTAATAAGTTAATAAACTATTTTTTAAATTTTTTATAATGTTATTAAAATTTTTATCAATTATTTTAAATTATTAAGTAGATTTATATTTAATATATTATTAAAATATTTTTAAAAATTATTTATATAAATAAAAAATAGTCACTAATTTATATATTATTTGTTTAGTGAATGAAATTTTAGTCACTATATATAAAAAGAGAAATCAATCACCGATTCGAGTTACTATTAGTAATCGAATTTTTCGATCACTAATTTCAATCACTATTAACCATTTTTAATTTCAATCACTATTAACCATTTTTTTAGTAGTGACCGAATCAGTAACTGATTTTGTGAGCTAATCAAGAATCGATTTTCGTGATCTGAAATTTTAGTCACTAAATCGATCACTAAATATAAAATGGAAATCAATCACTGATTCAATTACTATCGGTGACTTGAATTTTTCGATTACTAATTTCAGTCACTATTGATTATTTTTCTAATAGTATATATATATAGAGAGAGATAGAGAGAGAGAGCAGTTTATGTGATAGAAGAAGCGTTTCAAAAACTGATTAATGCCTAAATTTCTCATCCTCCCACCGACAGATGATCATTAAATGCACAATGAACGTTACTGCAATAATTGAAATGATAAGTCATAAGACTAACTCGTTAGGTCAGTTCAAATTTAAATGATAAACAAAAGTTACAATGAATATAATATTTTAAGTTTAAGATTCAATTTAAGATTATTTATATAAAATTTATCAATTAATTTTTTTTCATCAAATTTGAATTAGAAGAATGAATTTGAGTAAATAAAAATAAAAGAAAAGAAAAAGTAAAAAAAAATTGTAATAAGAAAGAAAGAAAGTGAAAAATTAAAAAATATTATAAAAGATAAAATTAATTTGATTTATTAAAATATTATTTTATTAATTTTAAATAAATTTATTTATTACTTTAATGTTTTTATTCATTTAATTATTGTTACTATAATAATTGAAACCAAAAATTAATATTTTAAAAAATTTACATAAATAATAATATTTCCTTTATTATACTTGAAAAAGAAAAAAAAAGATATATAATTTTTATCTTTTTCGAAATATTAAGCATTTTAAATGCTCGTAGACCTTATTGTTGTGACAGTACGTGGAGCTTTATCCACCATTTGTACAAGTCCGTTGGTGCAAATGGGACGTGATGGGACACTCCATAAAATATCTATTTACAAGAAGATAGTGTTTATAATTATAATTTTTAATAAGATATATGTTAAAATTTGGTGGGAGAAGATTCAGAGGTGAATTTGAATTAGTGGATGGATATAAGGGAATGAAAATGAATGATTTAAAATAAAAGAGAGAGAGATAAAGTTAGGATGATTTAAATTAAGGGAAAATTTATTAAAAATAAAAAAATGAGATAAAAATTTATAAAATTTTATAAATAATATAATTGATTTGATAAATTAAAAAATTAAGATTTAATTGATATAATAATTAGATTATAATTTTATTCTTAACTTAAATAAATATTTGAGAATAAAATATAAATTAAGTAATAATGTTAAAATTAGATATGATATATTATTTAATTAAATAAATTTATTATAAAATAAAATATATGAGTTGAAAATTAATTTGAAAAAAAAATTGACATAATTTGTTTCTCCATTTTGATGACTGATAAATGTAAAATTGGATAGAATTATTAATTGAAAACAATAAAAATACTTTAGAAACAATTATACATGTTGAATATAGAGAAAATAAGGTTTGGAATTAATTTCCTTGTGTATAAATCACACATAGGGTAGTCTATTTATAGTAGAGAAATACAACTAAAAGAATGAATCGAAAGTAATAGAATAAACGAAGATATTGTTTGATATTGTGGTTACCAATATCTAACAATATCTTAACAATATAAAATAATATCTAAACAATATCTAACACTCCCCTCAAGCTTGGAGCATACAAATCGTATGTGCCAAGCTTGTTACAAATATAATCAATTCTAGGACCCCGTAAAGATTTAGTAAAAATATCTCGCTAACTGATCACTTGAGTTAACAAACTCGGTCTTGATATCTCCAGACATAATCTTTTCTCGAATAAAATGACAGATCAATCTCAATGTGTTTGGTCCTCTCATGAAAGACAGGATTAGAACTAATATGAAGAAGCGTACCGATTGTCACACACAAGTGTCATTTGAGTGACATCTCCAAATTGTAACTCTCTAAGCAATTGCTTGAGCCAAACAAGTTCACAGTGAAGCCGAGGCCATAGCTCTATATTCCGCTTCGCACCGGATCTTGCCACAACACTTTGTTTCTTACTTTTCCATGAGATCAAGTTACCACCAATGGTGACACAATATCCGGATGTAGATCTTCTATCCGAAGGAGATCCCGCCCAATCAGCATCTCGAGTAGCAGAACAACTCTTGTATGGTTATTAGAACCATATAACAATCCTTTTCCAGGAGATCCTTTAATATACTTCAAGATACGAATGATCGCATTCCAATGATCTTCACATGGTGAATTAAGAAATTGACTTACCACACTGACCGCAAAGGAAATGTCGGGACTGAGTAACTATAAGATAATTCAATTTTCCAACCAATCTTCTATACTCGCTCAAGATCGATATAGGCTCCCCCGATTTGGTAGAAGTTTAGTATTGGGATCCATGGGTGTATCAACAGACTTTGAACTCATCAACCCAGCTTCCTCCAAAATATCTATGGCATACTTCCTCCGAGATATAACAATACCATCATTGGACCGTGCCACCTCAATACCCAAGAAATATCTAAGTTTGCCAAGATCTTTGGTCCGAAATGGTGACAGAGATGTTGTTTCAACCGAGAGATGTCGTGGTTGTCACTACTCGTAAGAACAATGTCATCAACATATACTATCAAGTAAACACATCCAACACTCGAGTGTCGATAAAAGACAGAATGATTTGATTCACACCGAGTCATACCAAATTGTTGAACAACCTTGCTAAACTTTCCAAACCAAGCCCTAGGAGACCGTTTTAGGCCATATAGGGATTTGCGAAGACAACATACCATCCCGTAAGACTCCCCGAGCAACAAACCCAGGAGGTTGCTCCATATATATTTCTTCTTACAAATCACCATTGAGGAAAGCATTTTTAACATCCAAGTTGATAAAGAGGCCATTGTTGAAGAGCAACCATGGCGATAAATAAACGAACGTAAGTCATCTTTGCCACAGGGGAAAAGGTATCTCCATAATCCAACCCAAAAATTTGAGTATAACCTTTGGGCACAAGACGAGCTTTGAGGCGATCAATAGTACCATCGTGGTCCAACTTTGATAGCAAACACCCACCCGCAACCAACAACAGATTTCCCAGATCTGTAATCGGGACCAATTCCCAAGTTCCACTATTATGAAGAGCACTTAGTTCATCTAACATGGCCTCGTCGCCAACCAGGATGGGCTAAAGCTTCACTGACAGCTTTTGGAATGGTCACGTAAGAAATAGAGGAAAGACATGTATAAAAAGGTAATGACGAATCGATGATAACTCAAAGCAATATAATGGGGAGAGGGATTACGTGTAGAACGAATACCTTTTCGGAGGGCAATGGGAAGGTCGGACTCATGTGTCGATCCGGAGGAGATAGAGTAGTTGACACTTGAGTAGAGTCACATGGTGGTGGTTGTGATTGGTTTCGAGAACTATAAATCTTAAGAGGTAGTGGAGAAGAAGCCGATCTACGGAGCAAGAACTAATGGTGAAGAAGACACAGCTAGAGGGTCACAAACAACAGGAACATTAAATGTATTAGGAGTGTTGACAAGATTGGATGGAGACGAGAGGTGAAGTTTGACTTTTAAAATAAAGAGACAACTCATCAAAGGTGACATCTTTTGACACAAAATAACGATTAAGAGAAGGAGAAAAACATTTGTATCCTTTTTGTGATCTTGTAAACCCTAAGAAAACACATTTATGTGATCTAGGAGAAAGTTTGTCCGCACCAAAACCGAAATTATGAATAAAACATGTAGACCGAAAACTTTTAGAGGTAAATGATGAAGTGGTTCATGAGGGAATAAAATGGAATGAGGTATTTTATTATCTAAAACCGAAGAAGGCATGCGATTAATGAGATAACATGCAGATAAGAAGAGCATCACCCCAAAAATGTTGAGGAACATCTCCATGAATTAAAAGTGTGCGAGTTGTTTCAATAAGATGTCTATTTTTACGTTCGACCTACACCATTTTGTTGAGGTGTATAAGCACAAGAAGTTTGATGCAAAATACCGTGAGAAGCCATGAATTGTTTAAAAGAATGAGAAAGATATTCACGGCCATTATCACTACACAAAACTCTAATAGAAACACCAAACTGAGTTTGAATTTCATTAAAAAAAGTTTGAAAGATATGAAATAATTCAGAACGATTTTTCATCAAAAATAACCAAGTGCATATGGAATAATCATCAATGAAAGTAACAAAGTATTGAAAACCTAAAGTAGACTTAACGCGGCTAGGTCCCCAAATGTCGAGTGAACCACGGCAAAAGGGGACGAAGCACCACGTGTGAAACTACGAGGAAAGGAAGTACGACTATGCTTGCCTAATTGACATGACTCACACGCCAAACTAGATAAGTTGGACAAGGCAGGGACAAGTTTCTATAACTTGGCAAGACTTGGATGACCTAACCGAGCATGAAGAAGAGAGGAGACTCCATAACCGTACTAACATGTGTAGAGGGACGGAGATAATAAAGACCATGAGACTCACATCCCGTGCCAATCACCTGTTTCGAACTCCTGGTCCTATAAACACACAGAATTGTTGGTAAAAGTAACAACACAATCAAGAGAACGAGTTAGACGATCGATGGACAACAGGTTAAAAGGAGACCCAGGGACATAAAGAACATTATCAATGGTTAAAGAAGGAAAAAGTTTAACCATTCCAACACCATGAGATGATACTCTAGAGCCATCACCAATGGTAATGAAGGTAAATGATTAGGAGAGGATAAAGAGGAGAACAAAGATTTGTTACCGGTAATATGATCAGTGGCTCCTGAATCAAAAACCCAAGGACCAGGAGAAAATGATTGGGTCGGACCAACAAAATATGTATTTGTATGTGTGACGAGATATAGTGGAACTAGAAGACTATTGATCCTTATACCATTCGAGAAATTTGTTGAACATAGCGAGACATGTCGGATGCAACGAAGAAGGAAGATCCCCTGCAGATAAAGGTGGGGAAAGATTTGTCTCGAACAACTACGACAGATCGAGGAGGATGACCATGTAATGTATAACACTTGTTAATCTTGTGACCTAGCTTGCCACAATGTTCACACTTAGGACGCCCTTTTTCCCGTTTACGAGGGCGAGTCCTGGCCATCACGATGGGATGTCAACACAAAAGAATCGTTAACAAAATTGGAAATAGTGGAAGAAGTCATGAAGAGCGGAGAACAAACCCTAAAACAATCCAAAGTAATCCAATTAACCCACGAAGCACAAATCCAAAATGAGAATACTAAAAATAAGTTCACCAAGACTAAACGGTGCAGGAGACAATGGGACGACCAACTCCTATAGTGGTGATCTCAATGGCACAGTGGTCACCTGACCGAGACAAGCAAAATCATATGTCACCGGTAAAAAAAATGAAACTCCGGCGAATTCTCCGACAGCGTGCGACCAGTGATCGCTCCAAGTGCAGCGGTGACGATAACGTGAACTAGTACACTAGGTAAGTTCCCGGAAAGAGAGGTGGGTCACTAATGGACACACTTAAATACCAAGTCTTTCCTTGCCGTAACTTTCCTAAACATGCACTTTCACACTACCAAATAAAATTCAATGACAAAGATAATTCTTTTCTTATGTGGAGGATCGGCTTACCAACGACGGTGGGGCGGCTCTAGCAGTGGTGGGGCGGCTCAAACAGTGAACAAAAGGCGGAAAAAAAAAATTCAAGATAACCTTAAGCTCTAGATACCATGTTGAATATAGAGAAAATAAGGTTTGGAATTAATTTCCCTTGTGTATAAATCACACATAGGGTGATCTATTTATAGTAGAGAGATACAACTAAAAGAGTAACTGAAAGTAACAGAATAAACAGAAGATATTGTTTGATATTGTGGTTACCAATATCTAACAATATCTTAACAATATCAAATAATATCT